CATGCACCCTCCCAAAGACTATAGGCTTGGAATCCACACGACATCACTGAGCATAATTTTGTCCGGTGACCAAGACAAAATATATGCATTTAAAACGGAATTAAAAAAAAAAAAAAAGCAGCACAACAAAACACAGCCTACTACTACTACACGAACAAAACACCCTTGTACCCTGAACTCACAAACTGACCAGTATATACACACAAAATAATCTAAAAACATACTTGGCTACTGATTAACATTATGTTTTCCATTATTCCTTTAATCTCTTTAAATGCTGTTAATATCGTAGATTAAATTAGAACAATGGTTCAAACAAGAAAAAAAGAGCGAAACTAGATTTCATTGTTGCTGCATGTTAAAATTGAAGTCTTTGTTGTAAAGACTCAGAAGTCGACACTGAAATTAAAATGAAAATTAAAATGAAAATTATTTATTAACAATAAATCTAATTAAGTTAATTATACTGCCTTCTAACACCAGCAGTCACACCTTAGATCAAAATGAAGAGGTAAATGTATAATTACATGGTGCAAAAGTTCTTTCTGACATTCAAAACATGAAAAGAGCATGTATGTTGAGAAACTAAACAATAAAAGTTTTAGCACATAGACTAAATTAAAATTTTTTGCCCCATGCAAACAATTTGCCCTTCCTTATATTTAAAACTGTAACAAAAAACATATGTATAAGTAAATAGCTGATAATTACAGGATAAGGAAGGCATATGCTTTTTCCGCACTGACAGAAATATAGTGCAAAACTTTAACATGATGTATTTTTCAAAGTTTGCACAAAAAGCAGACTTCTTAATTTCATTCTAATTTCTTCTTCAGAACTGTTCATTTATTACAGTTCTCATTCTTCTATTTTTACTTCTATTTCCTCCTGAGTTATATGATACAAGGAAGTATGGTGACTGCAAAGTTGCGAATAAATAGATTGTCAAGGTTTTTGGATAAGATTTTTCTGAATATTCTGTACTTTACAAGACTTTAGGTAGTCAAATACTCAAATTGACAGGAATCAAAGGAGGCATTTTAAAGATAAAAACAGAAACACTTAAGAGAGTTATTGATATGACACAGAAAGCCATGCGGAGGCAGGGACAGGATCCTGCCTCCACTTTTTTTCCCTTTCCAGATTATTCTGCACTCGCTTCTCAAAATCTGTAACAGCTGAGGATAGATTTTTGTCTCTAACAGCTCCTAGTAATACAAACCGCAGTGTTATTTCCAAAACAGCCTCCATTTCATAAAGCAAATCAACTGTACTCGTGGGAAAAAGTGTTAATATTTAAAGATTGGATTATACTTGATTTTCTTTGTATAGTTTTTTCTGTACATAATTTTTACTGACATTGAAAAGAAAGCCATCAAAAAACCAGAATGAAAACCAGAAAATTCCCTTACTGCATTGGTCTATTGGCTTAACAACGGAATTGGCAACATATACATGTAACTGCTGTAAAGTAGATTTATACAGATTCTGGTCATTTGGCTGATGTTGCTGAGTTTGACTTTTGTAGCCTTGATTTTGGAGCCTTTTCTTGAAAGGGAACAATGTTGATGGCATTGGCAAAGCAAAACATTTAGGCCACTGTTGTGTTTCTCAGTGGTACTGCCTATATATAGCATGTAGCATTGCCTGTAGTGTTACTATAAGTATATAGTAATATATACATAATTTCTGCCAGCTGTGCAAAGAAAGTGATCAGTAACATTAGTAGACTGTCATCCCTAGAGGACAAGAGTGCAAGATTGAGGAGATTTCTTCAATTACACTGCAGCTTCCGGCACACTCACTGATCTAGTATCAGACCTCTCTGCCCTTTTATTTGCACTTCAAGTCTGCCTCTTGTTTGTATAATCCATTTCTGTGTTAATCCTATTTCTAAATCCTACCCTAATTTATCTATTTTATTCATCCCGTCCTAGTTTTCCCTGCTTTGTTCCACCTTTGTTCCTTGCTTGATACCAGTCTTCATCACAAGCTTTTCACTCCAGTCCGCTCTTTCCCTTGCGGCTACCTTATCTTCAAACAGCTTTGGCATCCTCCCCACGAACAATTCCATCTACCCACCTTCCTGACAATCCAGATAGGGTGCTTTCTGCATTTTATTCAGGCTTCTAGCTCCTTCATTTTGCTCAGTAACAGCAGGGGGAGCATCATGAAAGGAATAGTTGCTAGTGCTTGACAGGTACAATTGTTCAACAACAGTTGCAGTCTTTAAGCTCTGGGCTGGACTAGGGAGAACAGGGGAAATTCATCATCAAAAATTTTTTAATAGCATTCCTAACCAATTCCTGAGTATTTTCATACCTACGTTTTTCCAAAAATGTCCTTTGCAGAAGATGTATCTGTGGCATCAGCATGTCTTGACTCTGGGCAAATTTTCAATCTCCAGATGGAACGCTTGAAAGTTTCAGACTTCATCAGGGAAATTATTTGCTTTTTACCTTAACTTTTAAACATGGACAAATAGATGCCTTTTCTCTCTCCGTGCCTTTCAAAAAGAGAACTGTTCTTGCCAAAGTTTGCCTTTATACTACCACTAGTTCTATTTGAAAGCTAATGCAGAAACAGTACATAAATAAAAATTCAGCCGAAACTATTACATCTCGGCAATCAAGTGTAGTTGTACCCACTAAGGAACATCGAGTAACTATACTTGGGCAACACTGCACATCACTGCTAGTACCACTCAAGAACACAACTGAGGCAAAGTCATCAACTTTCAAACTGGTAGTACCACTCAAGAACACAACTGAGGCAAAGTCATCAACTTTCAAATCCATCAACCAAAGTCATCAACTTTCTTTTTTAAAATTAAGGCTACAAAGTCAAGATCTAAGTCAGCCAAATGACTCAAAATCTTCAAATTTTACAGTCATAAAGATTACTGAAGAACAGATAATAATTTCTACAATACAAATAATGTTTTTTCCTCAACAAATCAATGGGTCAATCTTTAACGAATCCTTGAATGAACTGTGTGTTTGACTCAGTGTGACCCACTCCCAGCCATCTGTGTGCTATTTTAGTTTAATAAAGTAGATACTTTTATAGCTGTACTTTGAGAGGAACTGTAAAACAGGGCTTTTTTTTTTTTTGGCTTGTTTTGGGTTTTTCTAGGAGTAAAATGAAAAGATAGTATATCTACAGCACTACTAACTGCATCTTTTACATTACATCATGGTATATTTTCTGAAATATTATCCTGTTGTACAATTTAATTTTTGTTTGATTTTTTTCCTGTAAGGTAGTATTCACAATTATATGTTGGCTGGGTGATTTTTTTTTTTTTCATTGAATACTGGGAAAAGTCAGATTCTCACATGTTTGTTTTTTTTTTCCAGATTTTTTTTCAATAATGAAGTTCACCTACATCCTTTGAGAGGGAGACTTTCCCAGTCACTTAGGAATTTTATCTTCAGAGCCCCAAATATTTTCAGGGTCAACAAATCATTGCTATGAACAGACAAACTGAAAGTACTCAAAGTTACACTTTTATACTAATAGTTAACAGTGTATATTTAACAGAATTTATCCCTCAGAAAGATAGATCATCAAAGTGGAGAAGCATGGAGGAAGTGACTATATGTTCCTTCTTAACATGGGGAGACTAGCAAAAAAAAAAAAAAGGCCAACAACTTTTTTTACTACTTCAAATTAGCACCTCTTGGCCAACACCATGATATCCCTGAAGAGGAGTCTCTAGTAATCACCATCTTTATTTTGATTTTTACAAAAAAGTTACCGAGAAAGTACTTAAAACCAACAACAACTTGGATAACAGGCAGATTAAAGCTACCTCTAATAGAAATTCAGTACTCTCTTTAGATGAAAAAATACTACAGAATAATCCTAAAGGCAACGTGAGTCTAGCAAGTAGATGCCAATGCACTAGGATCAAGAAATGATCATATAAAATATGACATAACTTCTTTCTCTCTGTTAGCTGGTGGGAATGCAAATATGCCAAGCAAAAACATACTTTAAACATGATGATAAATTATGTATTATTCATATACAAATTTGAATGTGCAAGATTAAATAAGTTATTTCAGCTATACACTGTATTACAGCATATATTCTGAGCACAAAAGTAGTAATGAAAGAAACACTTGTCTTCAAAGTAGTAAACCCTAAGATCTATGTGTTTCTAAGGCCCCAGTGAGCAAGCACTGCACCCCGATTCACAGATTACAAGAAACAATCAAAACAAGAAAGTACAAATTGTCATGTCAATCACTGATTTACTGAAAATTAATAAAGGATCACCTTAAAAATGCCATGCGCTATGTTACTGCAACTAATTTCTACTCAGTATTAACCAGGCAATCATGTCATAAATGATTAAGATGTATTAGTTTTAGATATGACAAATTAAATGTTCAAAAGGACCTAGATGTTAAGATGTGCACAGTATTCACTTCTTAAAAAAAATACAAAACAAAAAAAATGCAAAACCCACAGACTCATTTATATTATGCTCTCAAAGCACCTAATTAATGACTAACATATCAGTCATTCCAAATACTTTATACCTGCCCTTCTTCGATGGTTTAACATTCTTTGCTAAACTAATGTTATAGTATGCATTTTCTCATAATTTTACCTTTTCGGAACTGTAATTACATCTATTACAAAACTGGCCAGATTCTTTGGAAAAAAACCCAAACAATCTGAATGAATTTCACAAGAAAATAGCAAAGACTTCTTTTATAATTCTTTCTATTATATATAAGCAATGAAGCAAAATAATCACAAAAAACAAGTATTAAAGAGATTATAAATGATAAAAGCTGCTTTAATCATTTGGGGATATTAAAAAAATTATTTAGGAATTAAGTAAACTCTGTGAGAAAGAACTTATAATATGAACTTGTCAAAAGTTAAAAACACAGACTAGAAAGAAGTTTTTAATTTTATAGTATATTTTAGCTCCTATCAATCACTGTTAAAATAAATTCAGAGTTTAATAAGCAGATATTTACCTGCTGGAACAAGACAATCTTTCCAATCAAAATATCCTGCATAAATGCCAGGTTCTAAGGACCCAACTATGGGATCTGCCTTGAATTCAATGTACATTTCAAAGAGTCTTTGATCCAGCTCTTTCAAGGATTCCATACTAGCCTAAAAAACAAAAAAAAAAAAACAAAAAACATAAAAAGGAGAGAGAAAGAACATGATAAACAGTCATTCGTTACAAGAATTAAATAACATAACCAAAAAACTTCCATCACATGTTCTTTAATTTTTGGTAAAGAGCAGCAATTACTTACACATTTCAGTTCATAATTACATATATAAAAAAACCTAGGAACCTCCATATTATCTGTCCATCATACACAGTATAATTTTTTTTTTCTGATTCTGCTCAGCAACAGGTATTTTTGGGAAAGGTCCAAGAAATGCCAAAGCAGGCAGATCACTCTGTTGTTGCCTAATGGCATGATATTTTTATTCTGCGTGTCAGAAGGTCTTGCTCTTTCATGAAGCAAACAACTGAGTTTTCCCAATGCTTTAAAACATGCCCATAATAATTTCCATCCTGAAAAACGAAGATTTTAATATAATACTATAAATCTACAAATGGTAATATTATGCTGCTCCATACTTGAAAAATACATAGATTTAACTTAGGAGTCTCTGCCTTTTGAAACTTTACATGTGAACTTCCCCCTCCAGCTCCAGTTCAAGGAGCTGCCATACAACAGATGCATAAGCTGCAGCTCAAAAACATCTGCAGAATTTTCTCTTTGACAGCTCCCTATGCAATTTTTATTAATTGACACAGCCACACCGAAAGCTAAAGGGATACACGCAATTTTCTCATTGTACCTGAGTAACTTTAAATTTTATACAAGACTTTGTTATTAAACATAGGTATGCCTTGCCATTGGAGCTTCTAAAAAAATTCTGGAACACAATGTGTATCACAAAATGTTAAAGTAGAAAGTCACTAGTTTAGGATGATAATGGATGCTAAATGCAAATAAAATATGCTGAAAATATCATATGACTTCAGCTTAAATGTATTTATGTTTATAAATAAGGGCTTAAGAGATAGAAAAGTAAAGCTTTTAAACTATTACTCATATTCCTCAGCCATTAGGGAAAAAAAAGCCTATATATATCTATATATTTATATTTATATGAAAATTTCCAGAAGGAAAGGGGTTTAAAAGCAAGGAAGAAGGCAAGGCTCTAGACCAAACTGGGAATTGAGAAGAAAGAGACAAAGAAAGAGAGAGAGAGAGAATAATACTGACTCCTTATCATTCTTTTCTCTGTAAAAGACAAAAGATTTAATGCTGCAAGCTGCAGAATAAGGCATGAAGCTTATTAACTGTGGGGATGTCTCTGAACTGGCTTGTCCTATGGCAAGCCTATATTGTTAAGTGAAAAGGGAACTGCAATATTTGAGTCAGGAATACATAGAGAGATAAGCCTTCAGGAATTAAATCATAAGCGCAAGGGAGAACAGGTATTGTTGAGGTCAAAGCCGCTGCCAAATTCAGGAAAGCTGGGATGGAGAAGCTCATGCTCAGAAAATGAGACAATACCACCTTCCTCTGCTTTCCTATCTGATGAACCTCCTTTAACTTGTCACAAGAGAATCTATATCTCAAGTCTGGATTTTCATGAGGCACTGAAAATTTGCTTCCAGGACTAGATCAAGGCTGTTTTCTTCTTCTTTCCCTCTTAGCTGATAGACTGATGACACCCAAGATTTAAAATAGAACACACCAAAAAATGTACAAAAACTACACTAAATCCTGTTTTTCCCCTTACACAGGATCACAGAAATGTAAACCTGGAATAGGCTTCAAGACATTTTTCACTTCAATTCCTTATGATTAGGGAGAACAACTACCCTTTGACCATTCCTATTTAGGTTTGAGCTACTTGGAAAAAGTTCCAGTGTGAAGTCCCTGCAAACATGCACCCATTCAAAGAATCTCTGAAACAACTGCTTCAGTGGTCCTTAACAAAGTGTTTTAGAATTAAGTAATTCCACCTTCCACTCCTGCAGTCAATTCAATACAAAATATCATCTGCACATTCAGTACAGGGTTTTTGTTTCATGCAAGTCCTCTTCAAGCTGTTTCTAGTTCAATGCACAACTAAGACAGTGGTGGGTAACCTTGTTTTTCAGCTGGTAGAAAGATTACAAGAAAGAATGAACAATTCATCTGCATGTTATTAGAAGTCCGGGATGGGGCAGTGAAGCAGAGTCAAAGTCCTCAACAACCTCCATTGTGTATATCCATTTTCTTGACTCTCAAGTGGAGTAAATGCTAATAAAAATATACCATTCTCTCATGATTATCTTTCTGCTCTGATTTTCCCTGTAACTAGAGTTTTATATTTTGTATTAAAGCCATTTTGAGCCTTGATCCTACTAACCCCTCTGTCTTATCTAAGTATGAGAACTGGGGAAACAATTTTATTCAGAAGCTTAATCAATAAGCTAGAATGAGTGTTATGGGATACACATTTTTTTCCCACTTGTTAATTGATGAAAGTGATGGTAAAAACTTGAATTAAAGAATCTCCACATAAAAGCACTTAAGAGTTATTTAGAAATGAAATATAATTACTAGTGAGTACTCTAAGTATGGGCCAAGATGAGATGGCATGTGCTAAAACAGTCAGCCATTTTATTTAACTTCGTATTTGCACACTAAAACAAAAATGGATACAACAATCACATAGAATGTAAGCAAATTTTTTTCATTACCATTTTATGATTTCTCTGTTTTCAGAATATTAGATAATAATGATTTCACTTCTAACAAAGGCAACTTAAAAAAACACCTCAACCAAACAACAGATAATTTTTACCAATACGCACTATAAAATTCACTTTAAAATTCAATTTATAAAGCTAATAGCATTTAAAAGCAAAGGTTTTTTTTTCCTGGTTTTCTCAGATAAAAACACATTCTAGTTTTTAAAAATTCTTTATTGGAAATTCTGTACCTAATAAATAGTTAAGCAAATTAAATTTAAAGAAATGTAGGTCACAGAAAAAAACACTGAATCAACCCACCTCCCTAAACCTCTCTGGGCTTCTAGCCTCTCTTAAAATTAATGAAGGGTTCAAAAATTGCTATCTTAAGATGACTATCTAATTATCCAAATCCTCCCAGCTAGCGTTACTGATTGATGTGTCCCATGTATGCAGTATTGCCTGAGTCAGTGCTTTCAAAGGGTTAATACAGATTGAAAATTAATCTGCAACTTCAACATTCAAATTTTGTCATTTGTAAACGTACGAGACTTTTAATAGCAATATTTCAACATGGCTGCACAAGACAGTGTTGAAAGCAGATTTCTTGTTTATATAGACAACACTAACTGTACCTACCTCAACACTCATTTGTCTCAGCAGCAAATTGTAGCAATATCCAGAGTAATTTGGTATACTATACTAACCATACGAATCATATCAACCCCATTTAAATGCTATTAAAAATTACTTCAACCACAGAAATTCAAACAACATTCAGGCAGAACAGGACTAAGGGTGTACTGTACAGTAGAAACACCAGTTCAAGTGAAATACCGTACTCTGTACTGGAAAAGATAACATTTTACTTCCAACCAACAAATGTTTCTGGAAATAAACTAGATTTATGGTCCTAAGGATTAAGTCACAACATTTCTCATAAAAAATGATTAATCTTTACAAAAAGACAGGAAAATGAGACAGCTACTGCCGCCCACTTTGACATTTTCGTTCTTTGAAAAAAAAAAACACAAAACAAAACAAAAAACCAACAAAAAAATTGAAGTAGTTTATGAACAACAGCTATCAGTAACGCAGATTTCCAGATGAAATGATTTATCAAGTATATTTCTGAGATAACGATCTTTTATTCTCTGTATTAGGAAAACACAGTGACATTAAACAGCTTTACTAAGAAATCTGATAAGCTTTGCCATTGAACACACAAGTCCTGAATAAGAGGTCACATTTTCTATACCAGCTACTTAAGCCTTACAAAACCACATACAACCGTACCAATGTTGTTGTTGTGTCCAACTGACGCTTGGAGTGCCCCTCATTTGCAGAAGGCTCACCCAAGAGTCCTTTTGGCCGTATGAACACACGCACTTAATTTCCACAGAAAGTAAAACAAATAAAAATGGTTTCCTTCAAGTAATGATACTTCATTCCAGTGCTCTCACTTACTTGAGTTATTTTTTCAACACCTTGAAAGCCATGTTTCTCAAAATGTTCAGCTATATTTAGGAAAGTATGACGTTCCAGATAACGGCAGTTGCTGAGTGCAATTAAAAGCCTCTGTTCCTAAAAATTTGTTTCAAGAGAAGAGAGCACAACAGTTAGAAAAAAAGAAATATCAGCGTGACAAAAACTGTAAATGTATAGTATTTTATTGACCCCGTGTGTGATAAAGATGCTGATAAATAAAGCTGAGTTTACAAATATTTTTGTCAATAAAGCTAAAGGAACCAAGTGAATATCAGGTATGACAATTGAAAACATACGCCTTTTCTTATGGGATCTGGAGCATTCACTGGAATAGCTGTGACTAATACAGAACTGTGGTTAAGAGTTCTTTGCAAAATTTAGGTTTGGACAGCTTTCCAGGAAGCTGTTTCTGGCTTTTACTTTGTTTCAAGAAATATGCTAAAAATTATGGCCATCATAAAAATGTAACTAAAGATCATCTTCACTTTCACACAAAGCTGGTTAAAAGAAGGAAAGAAAAACAAGTACTGAACAAATGCCATCACCCCTTCTACAATACATAGTTAGAAAGTTCAGAAGAATATAATTTCAGGAGTTAATTTGGAAAAAATTCTAGGTGGTTATAACTTCTGTGTTCTTCAATGATATTTTTTAATTACAAGAAGGTCAAAGATATTCTGAAGTTGAGATTACAGGATTGCCTTTCCCTGACCTCAGTGCAACAAGGTGTAGTTTCCAAAGAGACAAAGAACCAAACAAGACAGAACTACTACTTAAAAAGACTTGGTCTTTCCTCTTCCCCTCTCCTCCCTGCAATGGGAAAACATTTTTCTATCTCAGATGGAAGTTCAAAATCAACAGGAGTAAATATTTTGAAACACAAAATTATTTGGCAATGAAATCATCATAATACTGCAGATCCAATTAAAAATGGTCTTGCTTTTCAGACCCAGAAGAACTCCTGACAGTTTTGTATTCCAGTATTAGTATTGAGATGTGCAGTTGCCTCATACTTTAAATTATAATCAGCTGGAATACAGACAATTAAAAAAAAATGAACATTTTAAAAACACAGTGACAAATCTTCCTCTGTTGATTCACTTTCTCTGTTCTCATTGCTCAATCAGGAAAAAGAAGATAAAGTGTTCTATGATTTACAGAAAAAAAATTATAAGACAATGGTTTGTTTCCATGGTATCAAAATCTATTGATTTCTTCTTTTTTATTTAAACATCCATACTTATGACATATGGAATGAGGTCCTGAAGAGCCACAAAAAGTTATTTTGTCAACAATTAATATCAAAATCTATATGTTGCAGGAATAAAATTATATAAAGAACTAATTATTATAGTATGCAATTCAGAAACTTGGCCTGATTTGGCAATCTGTGATTCTCTATTGTAGCACGAATGCTTACTATTCTTGTAAATGAGGCAATATTTAAAATCTATACCAAGGAACATTAACCTCACAAGAGGTTCTTACTATGTTTCTTGCAGGGAACAGCTACATTTTTATTATCAGCCACCGGACTGGATGCAAGTACATTAACCAAAGTCAAAGTGTCATGAATGTTAAAAAACTTTTTTCCAGTTTCCTAAAAAACAAAACCAAACCCAAACAAGCCACACTACTTGCTCTCAGTAAAGTAATATTTTGGGGAAAAGCTATGTTACTGAATATCTGTATCCTCATAGGTTTTAAAAAGCAACTATAATCAGACCGATTCTTATCATTTAAAGCAAGGTGATAAATCAGAAGTCAAATCCTCAGACGTTTTAACATCAGTGCTATTTTCACTGATTTCAACAATGCTATTGTAGTTTCTGAGAAGGATCTGTTTTCAAGAAATGTTTTAATTAGTTACTTTAAGATAGTATAACCAAGGTATCATAGACACTGTTTTTAAAAGAAAAAATTAAAAAAGGACCAGATTCCTGTAACTTTGAGAAGCTTTAAGTATCACATCAGCTTTTTAGAAATAGAAGCCAAACTTACTGAAGAAAGACTTGAGTCTTCATGAATGCTTCCAAACAAATCTGGAGATGAAACATCAACTGAAAGACTAGGAATATTGTTTAAAAAGTGAGTAGTATACTGATTTTGATTATCTGATACATGGTAAACAGTTGGAATAGGAGAGTGGAATCTTGTTTCAAGCCTCACCACACCAGATAATAAAGCAGCCCACATTGCTCAATATTTCTAAGATGTCCACAAAGTCCACAGGAGCTTTGTGGACAGACAGTACTATTCTAGCTACAGACCTTTCCCTCTTAAAGCATTTTAATTTTCTATAATTTCTCTGGTTTGCCACAGATTCTTATTGGTTTTTACATCTATCCAGCCAATAGAGGCTTGCAAATAGCCAAAAAGAGAATGGCACTAGGAACACAGTTAATTTGCCTTTTTCTAATCCATATTTCAGGTACCAATATTTGCCATGTCTCTGGATTTTCAAACAGAAATGACCAGTACTCTTCAAAACTGAGATTATTCTGACTTGTTTTGGTCTTTAAAAGAAGTGGCTCATGAGCCATTATGGAACAAACAAACTTTCAAAAATTTATCAGAAATACCCATAGAATCAGACAAAATGGAAGAGAAGAAAGACAGAGGCTGTTTCTCCATGAGTAGACACATTACTTAGTGACAACTCGTTCCATGTAAGGCTGTGTAAAAAACAACACATCTGCTTCCACAGCACACTATAACTCTTCTCATTAAATAAAATAGCATAACTAATACTGTATTTGTCATCTTGTGTAATATTTATTACATGATGTCACTGAACTGTTCGACATAAAAGCATATACTCTTGTTTCAAAGCATCACTAACCAGAGGCAAAAGTATTCACAAGAAATATGAAATACCAGAGAGGATAACACCACATCATCACTGAAAATTGAGACCTGTCCCTTCAATTTCAGAGTATTACACCCAGGTCCTATTTATTTTACTTACTGTGCTGTATCTATGTCACCATCGGGTTTGGTGCTCAGTTGTTCCAAACAGTCTATAAAGACCTAGGAAACAATAAAGCAAGATCTACACTTTCTGCCAGAAATAAGAAAAAAATTTTCTTAAATTCACCTTTACCACAGTCAAAAGAAGCAGAACAATCATCATCACCTTTGTCTTAAATCTTACATACAGTAACATTTGAGTTACACCTTTTGAATGTATATTTTTAATTTCACATGCTTCACTGTTTACTTGTAGCAAAACACAGGAGTTTTAAATCCTGCTAAGTGATTCTCATCAGGCATGGCTAAAGTTATGCAGTGTTAATCTGCTGATTTTCAAAGAAGGAATTGTTAATAGTTTTTAACTGTTCAGTCCGAACAGTTGGTCCCAAGTAAACATCACAGAAGCATCACAAGAAAAAGAAAATATCCATTTTTTGCTTTGGCTCATGATGTCTTATTTGAGAACACTGTAAAAATGGTTCAAAAGCCTAAAGCATGCTGTTACCTAATTTCAAATATATTTAAAAAGAACCACAGATTTTGTTAAAGGATATTGGTTTCTGATACAAAAATTAAAAGCTAGATCTTCAACTGATGAAAATCAGCATTGCTCCTTTTATTATAGTATATTGATGTTAGATGGTATCAGCTCAGCAAGTGTCTCTCAATCATCAGTAAAATCTTGAACAGTCACAATCAGTAAAACACTTGAATATATCACTTACCCTCTGAGGATTTGATATCATCAGCTTCAGCTAATAAGTTCTACATACATTTAAAGTCAAACATTTCTCAGTATTCCACAGTGTACCAGAGGAATAACAGAGTCATCAACTTCAACTGCTTTTTGGGAGGTGGGCAGGGTATAAAGCAGACATTTTTGTTGATCACTTGTATGCACAATTTCACATTTAAAAGTGCTTGAGTTACCTGCATGATCCCAATGCTTAGCTGGCACACATCCTCCTGTGTTTTCTGCTGCTGGAAAACCTGAAGATGCAAGCATATTATTTCAGCAGAAAAGCTTCAATTGGCCTTATTCTCAAGGAAAACCTGAGTAACCTATCCCTAAAGAGATGACACAATTACAGGGAATGGCTGCTGGGACACGGTGTCTCCTTATGGATCAATTTCAATTTTTCCCCACCCTAAAAATGGGGAGAGAGAATACAAGTCCCAGTAAACAGTTTGACAAGCATGAGGAGACAACACACTAAAAGGAAGTCAGTCACCGTACCTAGTACACATGATACAGATCATTGTTGGCTAATGGAATTGTAGCAAAATCTCCCAGGATATTCAAAGTTCTTTATACCCTAACAAGAACTAGAAAAGCTAGCCATAAAAATTAAAATAAGGGAGGAAAAAGAAATAATACCCATACAGAGGGGGCCCAAGAGACTTTGGAAAGTGTCAAACTTCCTTAGATCACTGAAACCTGACAGAAGACATCAACATCACAATCAATCAAGGCCTCAAGGTACTAAGTGGATGGGAACAATCAGGACACCTGATTTAGAATAAAGTTTACAGACGTAAAAAGCTCAATTTAAGTTCAAGTTCTGCAAGTAGTTTGGATGCAACACTGAGTGAAGAGTAACTCCTAGGAATGCCCTGCCCTTTTTTTCCCCTCATGTAAATAAAGCTGCATCTACTTCTTTGTGAAAATTACATCAGTAACATTTTTCCGAAAGAATAACTTCCAAGATTTAAATATAGTCCAATCTGTCCCACGCACACACAATTACCCCTAAACAATGGAAACACAAACAGAACTCTGAAAGCTAGCAGCAGTGAAGAGGGTGCACATCGAAAAAAAATAGAAAGGAAAGTTATACCTCTGTATCATTCTCTGAAAATTCTTTTTCTGAAACTCAATAGTAATTTACATAAGAAGAACAATAATAAAAGCATAAATCAAAACTTACACTGGCCTCTCCAGGTTTGCAGTCCAGCACAGTTTTAAGAGATTGCAAGGAATGGATAATGCACTGTTCAAACTGGGATGGCTGAAAGGCAAGTGACTTGTTAGCTTTAGATCACCATATTGAAAGTATACCACACAAATATATAAAAAAAATTCTATGTCATATAGCAAGCTTTTTCTCCCCAAGTTATCCCAAATAAGAGGAGGGGGAAGACATAATGATTCATATGAGTCATATGATTCATATATTACCACAGGACCCTTTTGTAGTGATGTACTTTTGTACTTAAATTATCTGCAGAATTATTACCATAGATCAATGTACTTTCTTTTTATCTGAATGAGAGAATTCTACACCAAACAAACTCCTCTAAAAGGGCTGTGAAAGACTTTTATAACTTGTTTGTGGTAGCATATATTAACAATTGCATTATAGAAATCTGTGACACCCTCTCTCCTCCCCATCTTGATCTAGGCTGGGATAGAATTTCACCTGGAATATCAGATATTTCTGCATTTTATTTCAGCAAAAGGTTTCTAAGAAAAATAGGCTGAATTTGCTTTCACACAGAGGAAAAAAATCCACTGGTTTGTGCGGCTGTTTTTACCTTCAGGTTTCCCAACCTGAAGTACGAATGTCTTGATGCATGTATCAATCTCACTCTGAAAGTGCAAATGAGTTCACAGCGTCAGAGTCATTAGTCAGTTTTTCCTTGTCTTTCTCTCTTCCCTGTTAAGTCACACCTTTTTTTTTAATGAGGCTGTCTGCTGGTATTAGGCAGGAAGCTGTTGTACAGAGCAATGTGAAGCAGAAAAGAAGGACATCATCCTATTGGATTTGGGTCAAAGAGATGGACAAAAGAAGCTTCTACGGCATGTAAGCCTGCTTTTCATCCAGGAGATAGTTTATGCCACATCACCAACTTTAGGCTTAGGAATAACTTTTATTTCTGTAAATGCTGGGGTGGAGGTGGATCATGAAAGTGATGGCTGCATGGCAACCTGAAAATCATTAAAAAAGCCACTAAGACAACCTGTATTTATTATTTTTGGACCTGCTTAAAAGAAGAACAGCAGTAAAGTGTTCCTCTTTTTTGTTTTGTTTTCACATAATAAACCATCACCTCAGGAAAAGAAAGCTGTTCAGATATGCTATTCCTTGGACATCGTGAAACTGAGGAGAGTTGGTTCTGTGTCTTACTGTATTTCCTACCTGAAATAACAAATGCTAAAGAGGTTATCAACCAGTATTTCCAACGAACTTAAAATGTTTTCTAGCTTAAGCTTAAAATTTCCCCAAACAGACTGCCTGGCCCTTGTTTATACTGGGTAATTTTTGCTATAATTTTTGCTATAATACTGCCACAATGAACTCTAGTAGATAAATAACCCTGCTATGGCAAAACGTAGTCAACTGCCACCATTAAAATCTGTTGTGTCTAAACCATGACCTCAAAAGGTATCTAGTGAAGTGCTGTATATAAGGAATTCGTGAGTGATTTCTAAATACCAAAAATGGAGATAAGCAGTTTTTAAACAAAGATGGATTAGGATGCAGCAGAAGCATACAGAAACAAAGCTTTTGTGGAAGGTCTTCCTCCTCTCTTCATTTTACAAACGGATTGTGAAAAACAGAAAACTTAAGGGACTTGCCCAAGTCAGCGGCAACTGAAACCAAGAGCAGAAGCTGTAAATCTGGTTATAATACTACAACTGCCCAACAACACTCCTTCCTACAACGCGTATATTGTGATTGCTTAATGCCCTCCTACTCAACTTTGAACACGTATTTATAGAAGCAAATAAGAAAAACCAAAAAAGTCTGTGGAGCATTCTCTTAGATAATATACACAAAGCAACTCTCCCTCCCACAGGCCCTTTCTGCTTTCGCAGATTGTTTTTAAGTCATTCCTACAACATACTTGCTGTATGTTAGGCATTACTCATTACTGTTTATTTCCAGAAAGCATCTCACTAATTTATCTGAATTTGGTTTCAAGTTATTTGTTGTTTTGTGTAGGCACTCACCTAAATTAGTTGCTTTTCAGTTCAATTTCCCATTATAACATGTAAGTGACCTATTTATTTAGCTACAGACCAATTCCATGGTATTGTGCCTACTAAGTTATGAAGCATTTTGATGTGAACTGAACTCGTTGTGACCTCAAAAATATTTTTTTCATCCCTAAAATAAGATGCTTGACTATGGAAGTTATTATTGCTTATCTCAGTAAAATCACACTAGTGGTCAGCAGTAATCACACTGATACATTTAAATACCCCACTTAAGGCAGAAAGTCACGCTACATATCTTGATGCCCAATTCTTATTTATTTTGTCTCTCAATACATTGCAAAAATCTGCAAAGCTTTTATTTATGTTTTCTGTTTTGCACCTTCAAAAACATTGCTGTCTAGTAATACCATTATCACTTAAAGTTACTTCAGATATAATATTTTCAGAAGGACAAATAAAAATTTGGGAAAAGGAAAAAAAAAAGAAAAAAACACACTTTGTGTTTGGTGATGGGATCTGTTAAGACTGCTGTACATCAATAAAAAATACAAAATTTTTTGTTTGGATGGTTATGTCCCTATACTTTAATAAAACTATAGATGCCAGTATGAACACACATAGACAAAGTACAAAATAATTCCATTTTTGGAGAAGATAAAAACCAGTTCTGTTACACTTGCAAAAAAAAAAAAATCCAGCAAAGAAAATGCCTGCAAGTATACCCACCAAAGATGTCAAACCTTCATTGTCAACAACCCAGTCTTCCTTTTCAGCTAACCTCTTTATATCTGTAAGACAGAGCAAGAGAGGGAAGGGTGGGGGGAGGGAGAAGGTATTAATTTTCATCATTAAAACCTCCTTGAACTTGAAAAGATAAACCACAGACATTGGGACTGCTATGACTAGGCATACAAGCAAATAGCACTAAAAGCTTCAAAGTTTTCAGCATTCTCAAATGACTAAGAATGGAACTCATACATGGTATGCTGGTGACACCACATAGAGAAGCATATCTGTGATACATGGCGAGAGTTGCATGCAGCACATCTTTTACTGGAAAGCTTAAAATGAAAGGAATATTGTGAAGAATTTGGGTTTGTTTTTATTTTGTAAATTTTTAATCACAACATAAAATGCTGCATTTAGGAACCCAAGTCTCTAGTCTATTATACTGCAGCTCTTAATTAAAAATGAAAGAACAACTGCCTAGCATTTTAGTAAAGACAGAAAGGACAGCATATAATTCATATTTAATAACTATAAAAGGGGCTGAGAGTCCCCACTCAGGGTCAAGGACCCACAGTGCTAGACTTTCTTCAAAAAGACCTGAAGGCACATACACAAAGCACTCTCTTCTGCTACACAGAAGGTGCCAACTTCTCTAGGCTTACTGAAACTAACAGGAGCTAAGTCAGGATGTGAATCCAAAGCTCATGCAAAAAATTCCTCTATGGATGCATGCATTCTGCATTATTGGTCTTTTTTGGGGGGCTTAATCAACTTGTAAACAGAACAAAGAGTGCAGTTTGTAGGGGCTTTGACATACACTTTTTCACACACAAATTGCTCATCAGAACTGTCTCTACATGGTGAAATTCCATTTTCAATGAGCAAAAAATTCAGTGAATTACCATCTCTCCCCAAAATCCAAGAAAAGAGGATAACTAATGCATGCTGAAAGGTATCTTCACTATCTTGGTGCTTCAATTAAGAAGCTTGGTTGTGTTGTCATCGATTGCAATTCTGTATCTCATGGAAGTATAGGCTTGGCGAGGATAAAAACTGTTGAGGTTTGTGCAGAATAATTACTCTGTTCATTTCCCTATTTAGTAAACCTCTTGATTCAACCGCTATTCTTGTGAAGCTTATGTTGCACTGGTCAGCCTTTGCATGCTTTTGTGGCCGCTCACTTTTGCATTCTGTTCTGAGCTACTACAAAAGAAACATATTTCTTTCTCGTATTTCACTGCTCACCAAATTCCAGTCAGATACATTCATGTAAACCCCCTGTCTAGTCTGGCATTCACATAATTTGGCTTTCATGACCTTTATGACCAGTGATCACATATGAAAGAGAAAAAACACAGACTGCTTCTCAGGGCCAGCATGAGTAAATGGTGTTTATCACAACAAGAAAACCCTGTGTGTGGGCAGATTTGCCCTATTTAAATCGTTAACGGTACAGTCACTCTATTAAAAATTTTAACTGAGCGGAATGCCTTTACCAACTTAAAGCACACAGCAAGAGATGAGACTGAGCTTTATATCAATAGTCTACTCAGCTCATGTTTCAGAGATTATAGAGGTGAGATTTAAGTCCATGAGGAGCCTTTTTGGTTTATATATTACAGATATAACTACATCTGAGATCCACTTATATAGCTCCATGAGAATATCATTAACTGTTCTTTCACTGGTTCCCTAAAAATAGCAGCTTCTCCAAGGGCCTAGTTAGCCTGGTCCTGTCCAGAAAAACTATCTCAACACATTCAACATATGCAATTTTGCTTTCGCTGGTAAAGAACATAAAAAAGGGTCCCATAGATAAGGCACGCAGTGCAACAATATGGAATAAGAGTCATCATACAGAAAACCATCTGTTTTCTTGTTTGATGCTACAGCCCAACACGCTTGATGCTGCATAGAACTTTCTCACTGAGAGGGGATGGAAGCAGCAGTCAAGGAAGGCTGCTGTTATTGGCTAGATGAAAGAGAGAGACATTGTGCAATCAACATAATATACCGGCATCTTAAGGGATCTGATCTCTTTCAATTCAAGAAAGAAAAGTATGAATAAAGATGTTCAGACCAAATAGGGAATCATTCACACACAAGCTGCTTTTTATAAAACTCCAAGGTACAGGTTTCCACAAGAGATTTTCCTCCGCAGAATGTATGTGGCCAGCAGACAGGACAATAAAAAGCAGAAACTCTTCTGGGTCTGAGCAAAGAACTGGGCTATTGTTATGATGCAACAAGTAGGCAAAACCAGTAAGACAGCAGACTTTTTGGCTGAGAGCTTCATCATTAATCACGTATCGGAGCTCTCTAGACCACACTGGAGAAGCCAGTGAGATGGATAAGCTCAGCGGTGTGATAGGTTAAGAACTGTCAGCAAGACAATTCAGAGCTAGACACCTCCTTCCTTTGGAACAGTCAGGACATCTGAGGACTCACTCACAATTTCTAGATAGAGGGCAGTCAGTCCAATGCTACCATCCTCATGTCATAATTAAAAAAACAAAATTTATATCTTTTCACCTACCACTTAAAAAAATAATCATATCAATTTTTCTAAGTGAAGAAAAGGACACTTCCAAATACCTTAAGTGAAATCTGAAGTAGTGGTAATACTTTCTGTATAGAGTTTTAAAGAGATAAGACAACCTATGTACTTGTGTGGGCAACAAGCTTGATATAACCACAGAAAAAAAATGGTAACACTGAACTGCGATTTAATAAAAGGGTTTGGAGCTAAGAATACAATTCATATCAACATTGGATCAAATAAACCATAGAGGCCTTATGAATTGTTGTCACCAAAATTTTAAAAATTTGCTTAATGTAGCCACCTACACTTAGCACACTTGAGGCTTGAGTAAAAAACTTACCTTCATGTCAGCCTAGAAAATAATGACAAATCATGTGTTAAAGATTAAAAACTGATTAAATTGTAAGATTAAAAAAGCCTTAATTTTTTTTAACATTGAGGGTAATTGGTCTTTTGGAAAAAATTCTTGCTAAGTCAATTAGTAAATCAATCTGCCCCTATTTTAAGACAGACATTTATTTCTGGAAGATTTACTTCATTCACATTCACATTTCAGAGATGAATACAACACGGTAAGATGAATGGCCTCTGATGCACAGTGTCACATTAGATTTAGAGAATGCATTACTAAGCCTCGACAATTCAGACATTTATGGCAAAAGCTATGCACACAGCAGGAAGCTTGGGGATTACAATATTAGTAAAAGGTCTCGGAAAACACAAAACTAAAACACTTTATGAAGGGATATGGATTATTTTTTTTTTTAAATGTTGGGATGGGACATCGCTTATTTAATTCTTCACTTTATAGAAGAACTCAAAAAAAGAAAATAAATGGTATTTCCAATATGGAAAAGCTGCATCATGAGATAAATCACTTGCATTGTAAAACTTTCTCAACCCAAAGGAAACAGATCTAAACTACTGTATTCATTAGACTAAGGGAAGACTCATAACACATTTCTGTCAGAAAAGTGAAATACTTGAGTAACTACAGAACTCAGAAGAGTCCACCGCCACCACAATACCTGTTACAAACATGATTATCTTCCAGAACACGGTTTGGTCTAATCAGAGGGAAAAAAAAGTATGATAGTAAGCAAAAAGACCTGCAGCCTTCTATTACCTTCAGCTGTGTGTTGTAGGGTCACTATAATGCAACGTACACGAAGGTCCAAAATAAGATCCTGGATGATTTGAAGCATATCATTGGGTATCTCGAGTGCAGTAAGAGACTCAGAACTAAGCCTGGAAAGCAAATAAAGTTAGACTGAAGTGTAAATCTGCAGGATTTTTTAAGCTGATATAATTTCATTGAGATTTTTTTTTAGACATTTTCTGTATATGTGTATACAGTAGCTCCACCCGCAGTGTACCTTGGAAAACTGATTATCCCATTCAGACAATAATAATTATTTGCTTAATTCAGAAGCTTGCAAATACAGATTTATTTTTCTGTGACATTACAATAATGTCATCACAGCAACATGCCAGCTTTTCCCACTGTCCTCTTGCACTTCCTCACCTGCCTTTTTGCATCCATCTCGCCTTACAACCCAAGAATAACCCTTTTGGAGTAGAAGTAGCTTTTTCTGCTCTTTTTATGTGAATGCCTAGATCAAGTCCTTGGTCCACAATAGGGTTTCAGAGAGATTGTTTACCCACATTACAACAGTAACAGCCACCAAGCTGCCATAAGAAGTGATGTGACTGGGCATCAGATTGCCAAGAGTATACACATTTAAGGAGCCAATTGCTCCCAACTACTCTGACCAGGCACAAATCACCAGCTACTATAGCTGAGGACTGAAACATTAATTTCCCCTTTTTTGCTTTAGAAATAGTCACACAGCAGCTGCTTGCAAGGAACAGCATTTCAGCTTTTAACTAAAAGGCTGCAGTTGTGCTCAGATTTTAGTTAGGGGCACAAAATGAAGTTCACTGGTTTTATTCAACTCTTAGGTATTTAAGCAAGGACAATTCACATACAGTTCATTGACATTTGCCTTAGTGTTAATACTGACTAGAGCACAGGTACTAGAAAATACCAAAGAATGGGAATTGAAAGGTGCAAGCAAACAAGTCTGAGCAATAAGTGGAATATTATCACCCATCTTTAGGGTCCTGTTCCTTATCCCTGGCGTTGGGGCATAAACCATCAAAATCCCATCATTAATCAGACTGCTATCCGCTCAGCACAACTACTGCTGTATTAAAATCTGCATTATCTCCCCATCCAGGAAACACAGGATGTAAACGGGCATCTGTGAGAAGTTCAGACTGCACAGAGGTACTGTACTGGATGATGATTCCATTTCTAAGGGAGCACGCAGCTGTCACATCCCCGAGATCATCTTTTTTCCTCAGATAACTCACCCTAACAAATACATACCTTTCTATCCCTACAATAAGGCAAGTCTTGCTGACAATGGCTTCACTGTATCATATAGCTCTAATTTATCCTCTAGAATCTATTCATATTGGGCAACGACCGAATGAGGTACAAGAGAAAGACCATGCAACCACTCCACTTTAAGCTGTGTGTTACACATAAACAAGCAGAGGAATTAATATCACACAGATATAATGCCACCTCCTTGTAATTCAGTGTTTTAAGCTTTAGCATTCTTAAATACAAATAGAAAATGGTAAATCACTCATGAGATAATTGAAAAGAGTAAAATCCTAGCACATGCTTCATAATGACTTTGTTACAAACAATAAAAATAAGACTTAAGCTATTACCTAACTTTGCAACGCATACAGTTTTTAAGCAATATGTAGACTCTTCTTCACGAGAAGAGTCAGCCTTTATCACTGGTGTGAGTCACAAGAATTTTTTACTGTCAAAGCATGGGGGCTCGAAAAGAAAAGTAATTGCAGCACTTGAAAAACTTCTGACCTGGTCATCACTGGTTGGTACCTCATCACAGTACGTTCAAGTTCTCTTCTCCAGATTTCTCCTCTATTTTTGAGTGCTTTTCATTAAAGTCTAGGACACTGTACCTGTGCCTTCAGCACAGGCATCAGTAACATCATGAGGTGGGGAAAGGAGTGGGAAGCAGAGAGAATTTCCCCAGTTCTCAGTTCAATTGTTCATTACCAGGGCATCATTACCAGAAAGCAAGAGGAGATTCTCAGAAAAAGAGCATTCTTATATCCTATAACTTCAGCCTGGATCACACCTCGGATGGCAGGACTCTGAAGCACAACCAACCTTTAGAGAATCTGTTGGTCAAACTGCCAAGATGTGCAACTGTTAAATTCTAGAATTTTATAATTTGAGTGAAATTGGATTGCTTCTCATAAAAGGGCAACATCACTGCCAAAGTCTGTGCCCTTGTCCTTTTACATCTTTTCATCAAATGCCAAGTCAGTTCCTTCTTAAATTGGAGCTTTCCATAAAATTCAGCTAGAATAAGAAACTTCACATGGAATTTTTTTTTTCTAAATGGTTAAGGTACAGATAATGTAACTGACAACAGACTTTGAGAAAGTGTTAAGCAGACTTCACAACAGGTATATATCACTGCTAGTTCCATCTGCAATAAGAATATATACATGTGACTATACACCTTCCGTTTCTTCTCTGTGCTTTGCTTCTTACCTACTTTGAAAACCGCAGAAAAAAGTACCGTATCATATCCAGGTATTACTCAAGTTTCCAAAAGATACTGACCATTCTTATAGCCTCCATAGACAAACGGAAGCAAATTCTGTATATTAATGAGACATCTTGTAATTAATGACATGGACATTACTAAGTTTATAAAAAAATGTAAGTATAAGCAGAATGGCATTATAAGCAGAAATATCATCTTCCATAAAACAACTGTAAAAGTAAATTACAATTTATGATACTATAGGGCAAAGCATGCTATTTTCACCCATTTTAGCAGCGATGGTAAAACGTGTAGCAAATGAAGCAGATAATTCTTTCTACCCTAAAGAATCAAATCTTGTTTCAGTCATGGAGTGTCTATGCTGTGCCAGTCAAATACTTTATTCAAATGTTTTCATAAGATCCTATGAAAAAATATGAACGTAATCATTATATAATACTTCATGGTATAGCCTTATTTATCAATTACACTTGCACACAGAAGCCTAAATCTTCCATAAGTAATTTTTGAAAATATTAACATTTTCACTACTCAGGGTATTTAATGCAATGAACAAAACAAAATTTGTCTTAAAGCACACACATTTCAGGAATAGCATCATTTTGTAGGCCACAGATCCATTTACCTTACAGTCTGGATAACATGCGTTAGCCACTGGCCAGAAAGTTCAGATTTCATCTCCCAGCCACCATACTGTCTAGATTCTCCTTCTTTGAGAGTAAATGGAAGCAAAGCTCCACGGATAAGTTTTACCAGAGAGTGCATCACTTCCTGAATCATCTTCTGCATTGGAAGAAGGGAAAGAAAAATCAAGAAAAAAGTTCTATCAATGTGCTTAAGCAACCACGTACTTGCTATACAAAACAGCTTGGTATGTATGATTTACAGGTGGATCCAGATGGTAGAGCATATATGAGGAGGTATAAGGGCACACAGGTGATTTAAGAAATCTGATTGTCAAGGTGGTGACACTAAAGTATGCTGCTATGAAGGATAACGGAAAGAAAGCAAGGTTTCCCCCCCATAACTTACCTTGAAATCATTTTGTCTTTGCCTAGCGTTTTTCTTTGATCTTTCCATTTGGCCAGATTTTTCAGCAGTCTTGTGAAAATGAGAAAATTGAAAAGTGTAAGTATCTCATAACCACTGTTAAAATAATTCCGAAAAAGGGGGTTTCAAACTGAAGAAGTGAAAACCGATGAGTTTATGATGCAATTATAAAAACTAACTGATGGCAGCAGCTCAATAAGCAAAGACTATACAATCAATTGGCTCCACTTATTGTAGGTCAGTGCGCTAATGTTTAATTCTGAGGAACAACGTATATTTCAGACAAAGTCAGAGACAAGCATAAGAGTAGGTCTAACAATATAAACTTCGTACGCTCAAAGTTTTCTCACTGTAATCTTAGTAAGATCTAAAACATATATAGTCCAATCATGCATCAAGTTTATATGAGGAAACTCTGTTTTTTCAGCATGGAAGCTGCCCAGAGAAGGACACGGGTGTGAAGCAGGAGACACTTCTTGGAATGAGGGCAATTTGGAATGGTAATATGAGAGAGGCAAGGTTGAGGGGGTTTTGTTTGTTTTCAGGAACACCATTTTGTTGACAATGCTCTTTAAACAATTCAACTAACTGTAAAAGAGACTCTGCAAAATAATCAGCATCTTCATGGACGCTCACTTCTTCGAAAACCAAGGAACGTGAGTACACTTTGCATGAGACAGTTACAGTTGAACAAAAACATGGTTTGACTAATAGTCTTCCTGTTTGTAACTCTAGCCGCCTGTGGAGTCTACTGAGAACACAGTACAGTGAAATATACCAAAAAAGTTATGTCAAATACTGAATTAAGTGCAGGTGTAGAATTTTATAGTTAGAAACATCTCCTATTTTATGTATATACAGCAACATCTACTGGACAAGAAGTGCAATAACATAGACAGGAGTTGTCAAAAAGAATCAGTTTACTTTCAAATCATTATTTTGAAATGTTGTATTTTTCAAGTTCCCCTGAAAAACGCTAATGCATTTCAGATTTTTAAGGTAAAATAAATAATTTGAAGTGAGCAAAAATTAGAGAAAAATAAAACTGCTTAACAGTTTTGGAAAATACATAGCTATGAAACTCTCATACTTCAAAGCTCTGAATTATACGGTTTCAGAAAAGAACAACAACATTGAGTTATTGCTCCTTAAAATACCCACTTCTCTCTTCTAATGCCTTAAAAAAAAAATAAGCTGTATTCCCTTAAACCTCAGGTATCAACTTAAAATTCACACTTTTTTACAGCTGGATTAAAGAACAACAAAAAAATTCACAGATCTTTGATATCTCTTTTTTTTGTTCCCTTAGTGGTTTTGCTGAAGACCAATCTTAAACCTTTCCTGCATAGACAGACCAAAACTATCTTGTGGTAAGACCAACGGTTACTACTCACATACGCAACTTCACCTAGAGTGATTCAAAGAACTCAACTTTTCAAACTGTTGAAAATACCACGTAAATCTTTAACTGACAATATTTTAAGGCATATAGATAACCTTTCAGAACTAAAAGAACACCCCCCCCCCCAAACCCTACAAACTGAACAAGAGAAAACATAGCTTGTTATTCATATGTGGGGATTTTCTTTACACATTTTTAAAATGTCTTGAGGATTTGAATAGGCTAACTGAAATGACCCTCCACACCATTTTTGCAGGGCTTTTCTTAAAAAACTGTAGTAATCATCTTGCTTTCTCACAAACAATAAATAGCAAGCAACATGGTAGAGGTATTTTTTTCATGGACAATTAAAATCTGCATGATTTCTGATAAAAACATATAAACCTTCAGTTTTGAATGTGACAGATATTGTTAGGTGCCCTAGAAGTAGTCTTCTAGCTTATGCCACCCCCTCCTCCCACTTGTCCTCAGTTGATAGTGGCATGCAGATGCAGAACACACAAAAGGAACTGGGGGCACCATCCCTCCTCTCTGCCCAAGAACTTGGGTGGCTTCCTTAAGGACCAAAGGAACAGAAGAAATCAAATATATGGGGATTAATGTCTCACAAGCTCAGAATCTGGCCCAACAGAAGGGGAGTAGATATACCTTAAAGACTAACAGGAAAAGTACTCCTCCTCCTTTTTTTTTTTTTTTTTTTAAATACATGGAAACAGTACTTTGTTCAGACATGACATAAGATCACTGCATTTTCCACTTGTAGTCACTTTCATGAGCATGATTTCTCAATCTTGTTTACAGTTCAAGTCTCGGTTTCTTTAGAAATAGTTTTCTTTTTCATTGTACTCAAAAAAAAAAAAAATCACAATAACTTAACAGGTGAATTTGTAAAGTCTAATTTCCAATGGTACTGTTATCAAACACAGAGGTTGTAATTTCTATTTTTGTGAAAGTCAACAGTACTAAGGTTTATTCTCTATTCTACTTCCTTCACTGAACATTATGAGTCAATGTCATACCTTTCTTCTGATTTAGTCATATAAAATGAGGATTACAAATAGAATCTACTTCACTGGAGCTATAATGCTCTGTATGTTGTGTTCAATATATAAAGAGCTATAGTACCTATTAATATCATCATATGAAAATGTTATATTGATTTGCAGACAGTGTTAATAAACAGAATAGTCAGAGAAAAGGAAAATAACAAAATATGCTTCCAAATTTCCTTTCCCAAGGATTTTGTTTTATTTTCTACTAAAGCTGCAAAGTCTGGTAGATATCTATGGCTGTAGTTCTGCTTTAGGGACAATTTTGTAACGGAATACTGTAGCTGTGATGACTTAAGGATTTAAGCACAGCCGGACACTGTAAGCATGGCAGGATAAAAACCAATCTCAACAAACAAATTATATAGCAACAGTTAAACAGAGAAGTTTTAGATGCACAAACCTTTAGGTTCAATATAGAAGGTGATCTGGATAATACACATGTCCAAAAGCTTGCTTATTTCCACCTGCACTGTATTACCCCCAACTATCTCCATATCTCTTCATAGACCTTGTCTTCAGAGCTTTTTTAGTGCCCAGAATGAGTGCAAACTGCAGTCAGCAGGACTTCTCAGGGATAGCTATGCAGATGGGATGTGAATTAGTGCCTTATCATCTGTTGATGGAACACAGAGCTGCCTTTCACTACACTTCGATCATGTGTTTGTCAGACTTGTTCCTTGGAAATACGCCATCACTACAGTTCTCCTTCTGGAGAAGAAACAACATGGCCTGAGGACCAGAAGTGCAACTGTCTGCAAAACATAATGTAATTCTGTGACCAAATTTTAGCACTAACACAAATCCCAAAACTATTGTATTTATCTGGTGCTGATTATGATGGTAAGCTGTACACTACCCATATCTGATTAATTATGAAAGTTATCCTTTCAGAATCTGTTAATAGTGTGCACATAAAAACAGCCCATCATGAATCATTACTTCCCTGGCCTTGCTTCCTGGATTATCAAGGTTATATTTACATAATTTATAAAAACCAGATCATTTGAGCAAGAAGGACTAGAAGCACAGGTGACTGCACTTCTAGATGAGACTCCCTATAGTATGGCTGTGTATACCACTCTGGGCCTTGGTCATTTCGCAACTCTGGTCCTGAACCCATCCTCACTTCCAAATACTTAAAGCTCGAGAAATGAGTACTCTTGTTCCAAAGAAAGGAAACATTTTTTTCTGTATGACTTTGTCTTTTACATATCTCTGTCCTTTGTGCAATTTGCTATTTCTTCAGATCACCAACGAAGGGCATCTGGCCTGCTACGAATAAGAGGTGAAACTATATAGATATTGACTCCAGCATCTGGAACAAACACAGACATTCTAAATAATTCCACTGTATGCTTTTGTTGTTTTAAAAACAAGAAGAATAATCACACTTCTAAAGGTTAGTATTGCAAGACACTTTACTAGTCAAAGTAGCATTTCTCAAATGTGTAAGAGTCTACATACTGTTATATAAAACTCTCTGATTAAAACAAATCCAGTAACTTCTTCCAGTGAAGTACAGTATTTCAAACATAATTATTATGGAGGATTGTTACTCAAAAGTCAATTTATACAGCAGAATCCATACCTCACTGAATAAACTTCCATTCACATAAGAAATCCAGAGCTTCCAGAAGTTGGGCAGCTGACTTACAACAAGTTTTGTCAACTTTTCAACAAACATAACTTGCTGAGGAGCTTTGTATCGCCAAGCTATAAGAGGTAGAGGGCACAGAAACAACAAAATTTAAAAACTTCAAATTAATAAAAAAAAAAAGCAGTACTAGATTGCTGTTGCTTTGTGTTATACAAGTGACTATATAGTATATGTAAAAACTTTCAGGTAGGAATGGAGAAAATTAAAGCCAGGCCCATATAGGCGTACATAACTGGTACACATACAAGGTCTTTCTCCCCTTCTTATATGCTTACAAGGTGCCAACACTATGACAATATATACAGAATAGGCCTTCTTTGTGGGGGTTTCTAATGCAATCCACCTAACAATCCATTGAACTGGTCTTCTGTCTTCAAACCACTCTAGAAGTTAAGGTAACACAAAAGGAATGAAGACATTAGAAGTTTTAAATGATGAAGCGGTGATGCTGAAGAAACATGGCTGATAGATGGGCTAATGATTAAGGCAAACAATGGAAACTGGAAGATCTACTTTACTTCCAGCTCAAAAAAATTTTCCATTGTGGTCTGCGGCAAGTCACCAACCTCATCTTAATTTTCATTTGTTTGGTAAAATCTTTTATCTGAAAAACAGGGGAGATTCCAACATTGTCATTAAAACTCAATAAATGTATCACTAATTATATAATGATATTCTTGGATGAAGAACACAATCATAACATGTAACACTGCAGCATCTCTCACTTCACGCACCTACCTGCAGTCCTGGTACACTGGTAATTAAAACACATCAGCAAAATAGCTTACATTTTTGCAGCAAATAACTTTTCTCAGTTTCTTATCAAATGAGGCAAAAGAAAGTGGGGGGGAAGGGAAAGGTAAAGAGAAAGCTGAAAAAGGGAAGAAAAAAAGTACTAATTAACACAGAAAAAAAAAACCAAACCTGTGAAATAGTTATACAACCACCTGCCTTCTCCACTGAAACTTTCTTTTATGTTGTTTTACCAAACCGCTGTTAAACTGATACCCTGTTAAGAGACTTATGTTTAACCTCAAGAATTAGACTAAACTTTAGAAAACTTGGAAAAAGGAAACACAGATTTTTTGAAAAAAACCCAAACCAAACAACCAAAAAACCACAAAACAAACAAAAAAACCCCTTAAAGAAGTCCATGTTTGTTGGTGTGGGTTTTTTTTTTTGTATATAACTCTACTCTTTTACAAATGATAATGTTGAAAACATGATATTATCCTACATAACACTGTGAAAATGCAGTAAAATGCTGGGTGAAACAGGACTTTTTGTCTTTACTCTGCTAGAGCACATTGCCTACATAGAACCAGAATTCACCAATTAGGCAAAAATAGCTGCCTAATAGCACACTAGGTAACCAGTAGGTTTCATCAGGGCCTCACTATTTTATTGTATTGGTAGCCAGTCTTGAATCTCCTTGAAGTACAGCACACCTTCAGCAGCATCCATTTGTTGGAGGTGCGGGTCAATTACTAGTCCATTTCTTTAGTGGACAAATAAACACCTGAACTACCAAAAATGTTCTATTTCTCACGGCCAAAACATTTAGGGACTCTGGATTAGTATTTAAAAAAGCCAAAAAAACCTACAACAGAAGCCCAAAATTTGGAGAGAGACTCTGGCATAACTGAAGCATAACTCTGCTAATAGAGATGAGTCTGCTTGGGAGGCATGAAAACTTCAAAGCTCAACTAGCAAAGCTCAGTGTGGACAGGATGCAAGAGCGCTACTTTTGCCAGCTTGGTTTCTGACTGTCAGGGAACTGGTCCGGACCCAGTAGCAGAAAAACTCATTAACACAAGCTGTGACTATGCCAGGAAGCTGTGCCAACACTGCTATAGCAACAGAGGCTCTGTAAGGCCAACAAACCCGGAGCTCTTACCAAAAGATTTCAGCTCCTTCGAGAAACCATTTCATCTTTGCCAAAAGTGCCAGCATCAACCCAAGGTTATAACCAGGGATGTCTCATCCTAACTGGAAATACACTTCCAAGTATTAAATTCTTTTCCCTTCCAGGAAGCACACTTCAGGCCTATTTCAAAGACTGCAGACATCAGATATTTATTAGAATAAGCCACTGCACATCACGTCAAAAGGACATTCTGGCCAGAAATTCAGGATATTTTGAGTTTGTTGCTAGAGAAAGCTCCAATCTATGTTAAAGCAGAAATTTTCTTTTATTCTATTATAATCTGTGCTATAACATCCTAAAGACTAAACTAGAGCTATAGTTTACATATCCTCCTGAACACACGCTCAAGCAAGAGCTGAATGTTATTTGAATGCTGCAGTTTTGAATTTGAAGTAATTTGTTCAAAGAATCACTCTCAATCATATTGAGGAAAAAAAAAAGCACACCAAAACACCAAAAAGACCAAGAGATGCCATTCCTCAAATTTGCTAAAAACCAAAAGGAAGCACAAGCAACTTGAAAACAGAGGACATCATGGCATATTTGGAATGGCAGCTCCTGCACAGATATCCTAAGCGGTTGGTTTGCTTTGGGTCTCCACTCAGAGAAGAGCAAGGATGGTAAAGTTTTCAACTCTTCCCAAGCATCCAGTGGGCATGTGCACCTAATTACCAATAAACTCAACTCAGAGGCAACTCATTTTAACTCTAGGGTCTTTGCAGTGGGTTATTACAATGCTCTGATCAATCCTCCAGTTTTCCTTTGAGTTTTGGTTTAAACTGGTGGCTACAGAATCTGCAAAGCTTGCTGAAGACTTCTCCAGTTTGTAAAAGGTTATGGATCCATAGCTAAGACTCAAAAAGCAAAGATAATCGATTGAATTGGAATTGCCTTCTGTAGATGCAACCCTTTAAACAGAAACACATGCAAAATAATCCAAACAGGGAAGAAAACCCCTGGATTTTGGATATTGCTTGCTACATTCAATGTGGCATGTGTATTGTTAGTAGATGGTATCCAACAACAACCAGGAATTTACTGTTTTGCTCTGTAAAACTTGTTCAAATAACTTTATGCAAAGCTTTGGGCTGAGAAAGGACAGAGGTAACAGTAATACAGTAATGTCATTACTTGGTATACGTGTATATTTTGAAGAGTCTGTGTAATTTACATTTTGAAATAAAAACATTCAACCTCAAACTGTGACATAATTTAATTGTCTTGTATGTGAAGATACCCTGTGGCAGCAAAAGAATGTACAATTCTCTTTATTCTTCATTCCACGCTCTTGAAAGATTCCTTTCATTCCTCTTTTTGCTAAAAAAAACCTGAATCAGATATTTATAGATTATTCTCAAGGAAGTCCATGGAATTGGAAGAAGAAAAACATCAAAGCAAACCAAAGCCAGAAAATTCTCCATAAAAACCTGCTTTCTGCATAAAAAGCACTTTGGTAAGAAATTACCTAGCCTGTGAAAACCATGTTTTCTGCCTCCTGTAATGTCATCATTGAAAGACTCCCGAGATGAAGTTTTTAGGACAAGGGTGTTGAAGACGCTTATGACAAAAACGACTCAGTCGGCTGCGGACACACTGCTGGAGCTTAGTCACACACTTTGTTTCCCTTTTTGGGTTTGCAGAATTAGAGAACAAGAACCAAATACGTGAAGTCACAGAAGGAGCAGATGCAAGGAGAGCCATCTTAGCAACCACACACAAAAGGCATAACAACAGCAAAAGGTAGTAGGCAGTAGGTGGTTACGTATACAAGAAAATATATATATTCTGGTTTTGTACAAAAAAGACTCTTACTACCTTGACCACATTTTAAGAAACAGATTACAGCTATGAACTGCTCTTTGTTTGCAAAAAACACAGAAGAACCCCTTAGCAACAATGGTAATGCATGAGAAAAAAGAATTTTATTTGGTACCAAACCAAAACAAACACAGAGAATCTGGGTGTCTACGTTTTTGTTGTTTGGTTGGGTTTTTTTGTGTGTGCTTTTTTTTTTTTTAATTACACCACACACCACACATAGGGAACTGGAGCTTTGTTTTTCCAAATAAAACAGATACTTACCATCATCACGACCAGACTGAAAGCTGCTGCCCCTTTTCAATGAAGCAGTTTGACTGAGATGGCCAATTGGTGATGGACGTACATCGCTGTCCAGATCTAACATGGGGCTGTGGAGCAATGAGTTGCCTAAGGAGGGGCGAAAAAAAGGTTATAAATATTTTGCATGTCAATCAACATGAAACTGCATGCTGCTTGTGGAATTCTAATTTAATTCAGAAGTGATACAAGACAAAAGTTACATAGCGAAAACATTCTTAGTCTTGCTTATTTAGACTGTTCACCTACATCAATGCTATTCAATAACACCACTGTTGACTCCTGTAGTAAAGCCAAAACCACAAGTACCATGTGGGAAATACCATTCTTTGATCTGTATGTTTCTCTGGTTTTACTTTAATTAATGCCCTAGAATTGGTTGCCTGAAAGCCATAGATAAATATGTATTTATGCCATTAGTGACACTGCACACGGTTTTTTCTGGTGTATGTCTAAATATACTTTTCAACAGCAAGTTTCTTGTGCCTCCAGCTGAAGCACTTAAGGGTAGTGTGTTCAACTACTTCTTTGCTGTTTGACCTCTGCAGAGATCAGGGAGAAAGAATCCATCCACCATGGAGCAGATGCACTGTATGCTTGTGCATGTCTGTAAAACACTCTGTATGTATATGTATCTACAAACACACAAAATATTTCCCAGTGTATCAAATATTATTTTTTTGCTTTGGGTGTGTGTCTATATGAAGGTCGCTATTACCAAGTCCTAAGCAATGATCTCATCTGATACAGGTGGATACTTGGAGTCTAATGTATGTTTTGAAAAACAACCATATAGTAATGAGCAGATTATGATGATTTTTTTTTAATGTACTGTAACACTGCCAATATTTCTTTTAAAGTCTATATTGCTACCTTGTGCACCTCACCTTGCAGATACATTTCCGAAAACAACCATCAAAAACTATTTCTGCATTGGCCAACTGAGCTGCAACACCTAAACTTTAATTGCAATTCACTGAATTATAGAACAGCCCTGGTGGGAAGGGACCTCAAAAGATCATCTGGTCCAACCTTCTGGGGGAAAGGAAGCTTAAATTAGATTATCTACCACCCTGTCCAGTCGTGTCTTGAAAACCTCCAGCAATGGGGACTGTACCATGTCCCTGGGGAGGTTACTCCAGTGGTTGGTTGTTCTCACAGTAAAAGATTTCTTTCTTATATTGAGATGAAACCTCTCCTGGCTATTCATGCTGAATTTTTTAGTGCAAATATCAGCATTTTAGTTTATATCGCTTGATCTTTTCCATCAATACCTACATTCACTTAAAAGTAACAGGAAGGCCACACAGTAAGAGCACCAGCTATAACACTGCAATACTCAGATTCAAGAGTAACACAAAGTAAAATAGATTTGAAGAATATTTATTCTGAATTTATGCTGCTGTCAGACCAGTATGGCAATAAAGATATATCTAGTCACTTTACGTCAACAGCTGGGGCATAAAGGGCAGTATTAAGTATTGTAAAACTTATCACAAGCTTCCAATAGGTGACAGTATTGAGTCTTAGTTCCTTGTGAAAGAAGTTCTTCCTCCCATAATTTTTTAATGCCTTTTAAAGAGATTTCCTGTGGCCTTTCACTGTGGCATTGTGCGGTGGGGTGACCCTGGCTGGATGCCAAATGCCCACCAAAGCCACTCTATCACTTACCCTCCTCAGCTGGACAGAGACTAAAAAATTATAACAAAAGGCTTATGGGTCAAGAAAAGGACAGAGAGATGACTCAGCAGTTACCATCACAGGCAAAACAGACTCTACTTGAGGACAAGTAATTTAATTTCTTACCAAGGTGAGATAACCTCACGAGAAATAGGCAGGGACTGGCAGAAGAAAGAATCATAGAATGGTTCAGGTTGGAAGAGACCCTAAAGATCATCAAGTTCCAAACCCCATGCCATGGGCAGGGACATCTCCCACTAGACCAGGTTGCTCAAGGACAAATCAGAATTGTCACAGGCATTGCTTGTTAAAACATGTACTAAAAGAAACCCTCAAATGTACAGCAATGCTATTTTCACAAAAACTACAATTAGAAAAAGCCATGATACACCACCACAACTTTCCTCTTTGATGTCTTTGCACAGAATGTAGGTTCCCACCTTTCAAACATGTTGTTAATATGAGGAATTTCTTGTAAACAGATGGTCTCTAAAAATGACAGTGCCAATTAAACCCCAGAATTAAGAAAAACAGACACACTTACCAAAACATCTTAATGGGAATTAGTTCAATTAAAACCATTTGCCTGAGGTAGCTGAAAACCTGAAAATTCTGTGTTGCTGCTGATATACTAACCCCACACTGCCCAAATGGTTTATATATTCACCAGTAACAGAAAACATGTAAAGAATACTCTCTTGTTCCACCAGAAAAACCACATCATCAGTTTGCAGCTGTACCAGGAAAAGAAAGTTTAACATGAACTAATTTCTTAATTGGTTGTCTAGCATTACAAGCAAGTATAACACAGCAGCAGGGAACTACAACAGCCCATATACCCTCAGGACTAATAAACATCTGGACTACATTAGCAAAGCTGATTTTGCTTTCACCCTACCAGAAGATAGCGCTTGAAGACTGCACTCTAACGCATAAATCTTGTGAAAAAGTGAGAGTTAACTTACAAACAATTTTTCTCCCAGCCCAACTCATTCCCTCGCTGGAGCCAGCAGCTTAAATTTAGCAGCATAATGTAATACAGTGAATTAATATTAGTATGGACTGTAGACAATAATATTTATAAACCTAAATAAACTACCCAAATAATAATTTACTGCTTATTCATTATTTGATTTGTGTACTATTTCTACATTCCTGGATCCTGAATATAGGACAGCAACAATCTAAAGTTTCAAGAAATTAACTTTTTAATGTGCTAACAGGTTTTAAGATGTTGTATAAACAGTATGAACAATTCATTCCTGGCAGATCTTCATTTTTTTAAAATATACTTCACCTTTGAAGTTACAGAAGTATTTTTTTCCAAAATACAGCATCTACATGGAGCATATCTGTCAGCAACTCCAGTGCCAAGTGTATATTTAACCAAGGAAACACAGGAAAAATAAATTTACCACATTCTCCTCTTCTTCTACCAAAAAGTCATGACAAACCAGAACTGTAATTAAAGCCTTATTTCATTTAAAACTGTAAAATCATTAGAAGATCAAATAAGAAGTTTTAAGGATCTTAACATTGCTTTTTAAAAAAAAAAAATTTTACCAAGTTTCAACTTTTTTGTGCACAGATATTTTAAAGGTATGTAGAAAAAAAACCATTCAGATACTGCATGAAATATAAATAGCTCAACAGTTTTGTTCAGACCGCTTTTGTTCTACTGCAGTAAGGATCTAAAAAGAAAAAAAGTACAATGCTTTTTGAGGTCATTTATTTAATTTGCACTTTCACTGAATAAAAAGTCACCTGTGCTGACTCTTAATTGCAAGTTTACTCTAAGTTTATCAATACTGGTGTTGCTGCAGGGTAGCTGTGTGCCTACAGTACCTATAGCTCTCATACATACCCTAACCCCATTTTTTTTTCGTAATGTCCCTGGTGTGCTCTTGGCACGCAGCATGTTACAGTCTTCATTAAGAAGACAACTAACATGAAATCTGCCCAAAACAGATTTTTCCACAATCTGCAAACCAGTCAATGATTTAAATCTTTAAAAGCAGCTTTACTTTTATATTTTCAAACTATCACCGAACTGAGTGTAAAAAATCGTTCTGCGACATCCATCGCTCCGCAACTCTGCTTGTCTTTTTTCCCCCCTTTGCAGTCTGTCAGGCAGAAGTTTCTTGTGGGAGTCACACGTCTCTCACCTCCCTCCTGTAACCCAGCCTCAGCCTCTCTGCAGTTCTGCCAGCTCGGTGCACTGCTTACGTGACACTCAGTTAAAGCTTTTTACAAAAGCTACTGGTTGGCCAGGGGATAATATAGTGCCTGTACTTTTTTTAGTGACAAAGAACTTCGTTAACAATGATCAAGCTCAGTTTGAGTAGTTTTTCAGTGCAATTTTCCATGTTAAGTCAAACACCAGCCACTACACAGACTATGTGGACACTAAATATATGAGCAAAATTAAATTTAAAAAAATGATTGTATAGATGGGCAGCCAGGTGAATACAGTCACTGTATTCTTTCATCTGTTATGTATCTTACAGTGAATTTTCTCACAGGCTATAATAGCCAGGGAAGGCTGATCTGTAGACTCCCAACTCTCTGAAGGGGCGGCAGACTTCCTTACCACCCTTAAACACCTTTGAACATTTTTTCCTGTGCACAGCGGGCCCTTGTCCTGTGCTACAGCCTGACCACCCACTGTTGCTTGTTGACCAAACACACAGTGCCTGGAGCCCGCACCGACACAACCAGGATAAGATTCCTTTCAAGGGCAACGCGGTGAGAATTTCAATTTGTCTAGAAAAGAAATTAGGCGAGCAGGAGAAATTACCAAAAAAATTAACCTGCTCAATAGATGAATGACCGCTTTTCATTTTTTTTTCTCGAGCACTTTTTCTTTCTAACCTTACATTTATTAGGAATCTGACATTTTTAAAAGATCAAGAAGAAAACGGGTTGCATTAAAGGAAGTGGAAGATTAAAATTGCTGCACTTTATGAAAAAATCCCAATTTTGGAACACGTTTGAAAATGAATGATTTTTTAAATCTCAAGACTAGTCTTAGTTATACTAAATACATTTATACTAAAACTATTTTTCTGTTTATCACGAAAAGGGTAACTGGGCTGATTATTTCTAGTAGCGTTTTAAGTATTTCACAGCCTAAGGGTAAGCATTATTGTCAGTCCTGCAAGCCAAAAAATACTGAAGCAAGAGCCAAACACTTCAAGTTCAGCACATAAATAAAAATGATGTCATTTTACTAGCACTAGTAAAATGCACCAGCGGACATTAAGATCTTCAGCAACTTTGAAAACAACTCGCATTTACTTAATTGCCCGAATAAGGACTTAGAAGACTAGTGCAGACACCAAGGTAAAATTGTGGCAATAGTAGAAGTGTACTATATCTTCAGCAGCACTGAGCTTTTCAGTTTTGATTTT